ACATCAATGTATATATTTTATATAATCAGACTCACTTATTTTTCATATTTTTCAAAAGCTTACCTATCGATGGTTGCAGCGTTGTTGAACGACTATAACAGATAAAGCTCGAGAGAGCAGTTCTACTGCGGATGACAAAACGAACATTCTGACGACGAGAGATATTTTTTATATATTGCGCCGGCCGAGGTGTTAACCAATATCTATTTGCAAAGTACTGGACCCCTTTTCAAAATATTTTATTGTCAATACAAACAAAGCTAATTACAAGTATTACAGAAGAAATAAAACAGTACATTAACAAAGGGATAAGACAACAGGCTAAGCAATATAAGTTACCAGTAATCAATTATTTTAAATTCGTTAATAAAATATTTAAGTTATGGGTGGAAGATAGTAGGACAATAAAGGAAAAATGATTTATTAACTATAATGACTCTCATACTACCATTTGTAATTGTTATATTTTTATACCGAACCCATTATATGCAGAAAGATGATTCCCTACAGGCTACTGCTCCTTTACAGCTGGGCGAATCCATGTATCCCCTACATTGTCATGCCACAGGACATATATTTGAATTGTACACACATTGTGTCACAAATATGTTTTCAGTGTAATGCACTTCTGCAATTATAACGTTAATTGGCTTTGTGTTTCCTGCATTTAACCTGACCACTTAATGTGATAGACCGGTTTGAATGTAACATATTACAGATCACACAATTACACATAGGCTTTAATCATAGATTTTTCAAATCTTTATATTGATTTGATATTGTAGTTTAGCCGTAGACACATTCAAACAAAGTAGAGATTTCCCTATTTGCTTTTATACCAGTAGTACTAAATAGATCTATATTGTTGTTTTATTTACAGTCATGTCATTTTCACATTTGATTTTCTTTTGAAAAAATATATTTAGATAATTTAACTTAATTTCAATACTTGCTCTGAAGGAACTTGATGGTCCTCCATTTGTAATGTGTTCGAATTTTATTTGTTGCAGCTTAATTCACAAGTCAGTTCGAAGACAATTAGCAAAGGGAATCCTTTGATTGCAGCAGTTCACTGACACTTGGTCTACCTCTTTGATGGGGAATGCAAATCATTATGCCAAAAGTATCAGCAATTTTCCAAGAGTTACACCATATTTCACACCATCAAAGAGATTTATCTGATATTATATCTGGCAAGGTTTTCATTTGATGGAATTTCATTTCATACAAGATATGGCGAGTTATTCTCAGAAATAATATTTCACTGCAATTATTTTGTATGGCAAAGAACAAAATGGCATTGTTAAATAAATTAATCTGAATAACTTGTCATATATCTCAAAATAAAAACAAGTCGACACATATGTAGGAAATATTTTTAGATGATTATTTAGAAACATACAATGATTTTTCAGTATTTGATTTTGTTTCAATGGTGATATAACTAACCCCAGAAACATCTAATGGTAAAGATAACATTAAATAAATAAAATTTAAAATAAATATGGGTAAATTGCATTGGTGGAAATGCTTTATGAAGTGCACTGTCCTAGACCAGAAGTTTAATTATACATAACACATAATTATGACTATAACATTTTTTCCTACTTTGTTTTAGCAGTGCATAAATGTACAAATTAAATTGCTTTTCACATTCAATGTAGATGTCATTTACAATTTTCATAGAACAGTGGAAGCTTCCAAATGGTGTCACTTCATTAATTCATTTGTATTTCACACAAATAATATTAATCACAAATCAAGATGTTGATGAAAGATAAATTCACCAATGGCTGTCCTGAGAAAGAAAGGAATTTTCTTCATCTAAGACAAATTGTCTATTAGATCCAGCTTTTTAAAGGCATTCTTTTGTAATTGTTTATTTTTCAGAGATTTTACATAATACACAAACATGTCATTAATAGTACATATTCACATGCACATAAACATATGCTAGTTTTTCACTTTTGCATCATCATCATCATCATCTAAAGACCTCTGTTTTACACCAGAATATTTCTTACAAAAATTAGTTTGTGGCCAATGCAATGCCCCATAATATTAACTCTAATGTTTTAAGTTTCCATAATTTAGAAACTGGTGCTGTTACTAAATTTAAAGTTCAAGAAAATATTGTTTGATAATCACATTAAAAATGTATTTATACTTAAATCTTTTTTATAACCTATAGCTACAGTTCTGTGAACTTATGTCCCAAAGTTTCCTCTGGTCTAAGTACCAGACTTTTGTAATTTTGACAGACAGATGTCTGCCCAACACATGTACATCAATCTGTCAAAAGTCTGAGTGTTGGGATCATAGGAAACTCTAGCCAGCCTGTTTCACACTGTTGTTTAGTAAACTATATATTTATATAACCAGTTATCAAATTTAGAAAAATTGTTAGTACAAATCTGCTTGATCGAAATCAAAACAGGTGTCTAGTGTAATGGATTGGTTATATTATACATACCTGCCACAAACATTGCATGTACATGTGTGGGTTAATAAAATAAAAAGGCAGAAATGACAAAGACAGCTGGCGAAACAAAAAAAATCAATTTACATACATGACTTATGCAAGATACCCATTGCACCCAGTTCACAAGTGACTCACACCCAACATCCAATAATTAAATATTTAACTGTTATGACAAGTTATGTGTACGATTGCTCATTGTGAAAAAAAGTGATATTATAAGAAACAGAAATAATTGTTCTTCATTGTACACAAAAATATGACCGTTTTCTTGCACATAAAAACAGCGATATGTCGAACCACGGCTCGAATCTAATTCCGTGATCGAACTGAACGACAGCTGAAACCTACGCACACTGGCATAAAAATTGATATGACAGGCCTACTTCAATTGAGACAAACTGCTAAATTAACAGTTAATTCGTATTAAATATTACTGAGAATGCCTATTGATAGCGTAGGCAGGTAATAGAATTTTCAAAACTAGATGTCATACTTTCTAAGCGGAAAGAAGTATTGTTTAATGAATCGGTTCCGTGCGTTGCCCATGTAATCGTACAAAACTTTTAACAACTTGACCTCTGACCTGAAGCTTTTGACCCAGATCCAAGATGGCGGACGGGTAACTGTCAAAACGTCTATTCTCGATGTCGGCATGACATCACAGTCACGTGACAAAACTTCACAACCGCTCCGCCATCTTTGTTTGGTGGTAAACTGGGGAGATTTTTATTTTACTCTTAGTCCGATATTTATTTGCGATTATTTCACGACAAGTTATGTTATCACCGCATCATGTCATTTCGATATCAAGAAGAGTTACAGCCAGATGCTAAGGGAAGGTATATAGAAAAATTACACATCATTGGTGAAGATATATGCCCCTACAAGGTCCCCGCCGACACCTGGATCAATGACCCGAATCAATGGCCACCATTGGAGTACAACGATGTTTACAATTACCTCATCAAATTTCCACGTGAGTATTAAGCCTTTTGCAATTCATCGTATCGAAGCACTAACAGATAATCGCTCAATCATCTGTTAAACAAAAATGAAGGGAGAAATGTTAGATTTTCGTTTTAACGTAAATGATGGCTAAGGTAAATATGTATTTGATTCCGGTTCAAAAATTCTATTTTTGGCACAGTGACTCACCTTCCACAGGTGAATAATTACTTGGGATAACAAAAATAATCATGTTTTGATTTAATTGATGTAATTTAACGATATGTTAAGTTATGACCGAGGTTAGCACCTGTGTCTACATTTAGTTTTAGATCTAGATCAAACAATCTAAGACGCATTCTGTGGCTGCGAACAAGGACGAGGAAATTAAGTCGTTAATCGACATATTTACATAACATATACGCACAAATATTAAGCAATATCTTTAATTATTAATAGATTTGGAATAGATAATGTGGTTATATATTTAACTCCCCCTCCCCCCTGAAGACACATTTGAACTCTTCCGATTCGAAGGTCGGAATAGTTCATTATGAATTTTAAGGTGTGAATGGGTTAAGTATGCTCTTTACTAAATATATCCATAATGCTAAGTATTTCGATACAGTATTACGATATTGACCTCTTGTCAACAATAGTTTCTAATAATTAAATCCTTTATCTGTTTGTAACCATGATTTGACCTGTTGTTATCAATTCTGATGAAGTTGTCAGATATACTTACAGTAATAAACACTTTATTAAGTATGCACTTTGCGTTCAAACATCTCTAAAAATCATATTTTCTTTACAGTTAAAATATGTTAAACTGAATAGAAGGTATTAGTGAACTCATAGGGTTGATAAAAATCTTTTTAGCAATTTCAATTAATAAAATGTTAAAATAATGTAATATATTCAAACAACAGAAATATGTTTATCGAATTGTTCTTATGTACGTTTAACAATTAACATGACACATTTACTAGTTTTAATCAATTTATATAATACTACTAATAATGATAATAATAATAATTATACCGCTTTATCACAACCTAGTTCGTAGGTCGTCTCAAAGCGGTTCACAAATTATTATCCGTGGTTATAACGCCTTTGCAACCAGCCAATATCTTTCTCAACTCCCTAGGGAGCATACATGTACAGCCGGTGCTGCCATTTATGCGCTCACAGCTAGCATTCAACAATTCTAGCACTGCCCAACCACGTACTCATTTAAAGCTGAATAGACTGGAACAAGCGGAGTAAAGTATCTTGATCAAGGACACAACACAGTGTCGTGCCTTGACGCGAACCCGCAACACTTCGGTCACGAGCCCGACGTCCTAGCACTAGACTACCGTTTCTCCTAAGTTATATATGTATATTGTTACAGATTATTCACAATATCTCCTTATCCGTTTCAAGAAAAAACGTATCTGAAAGGAACATTGAAAAGTTGTATGTGCAGTATATAAACTGTAATGAATGAGATAAAAAGAGATACACAATGTTAAATAAAACAATGCTTAAAGTAGTATATATTCTTAACAAGGTAAAAAAAGCATTCACTTACGTCTATGCGACTTGTGCTGTGGTTCGAAGACTTTTGCAATGTCCGTAAAAATCACGAAGTGCTTGGTTATTTATAGGTTCCTTAACAATGCAGAACCATTTAAGGAGTGGGTAGGTGAGAACCGGATTTCCAAACTGTTTTTCTCTCTTTTTATGTCGTTCATATTTGTGTGTGGTTCTGGTGACACTAATATACGTATTCTATATAACTTTACTTGTTAAGACGTGCGTTATGTCTCTATCAATTCGCACTTTCATTTGGTCATTCAGGTCATTTGAGTCTCTGTATGTTGACGGTACAATTTTTGAAGATATCAGTCTCACACTAATGTCTTATCCCTGTGTATCGACACTGTGGTCGTTTTCGACGCTACCTGTAAAGATTTGTGGTTTTGTTTTGTGTGTTACAGATGTATCATAGACTCTAATTCACTTGACCAGTTCAGATTTATGTACCAGTATCAATTTCCAGTCTAAGTATCTTATCTTAAACAATCAGAAACTGAACTTGATGAGTTTTTTTGAGAAATTTTAATCTACATTTAGGTCCCCCTATAACTGCAAAAAGTGTTCCTTTGAATTGGAAGCTATTAATTAATTGAAAATGTCTATCACTTGTATATGGCAAAACTAGTCATTTCAATGTCTTTAATGGAAATACACAACAGCATATCTCGGTTTTAAAATATGTTATCATTTTAAACGAATTTTCCACCACTATCCACATACTATATTGTCATAAACATGTATGTCACACTCTAAGTGGACAGGTTATAACTGTACTAGAAGAGCATCTGTTTTTACGGGTTTTAGGTAATAAACAAGAAACAGAATCCATCCCTAATGTGAGGTATATATAAGTCACCTCAACAATACATATATTTGGCCTATTAAGTAAACAATACATTATGTTTATGAGACACAATGTGTAAACATGGGTGAACAAGACAAAAAGAATCATTCACCCCCTATATTGGCAAAGCCTCGTGTTTGGCAATTTAAGAATCTTCCCCAAGGAGGGTGAGATATTCTATTTATCACACACGGGAAAACGTGTGGATACGCTTGTCAGGGAAAGAGAACATAAGGGGAAATATAATGATATTACAAAATGAATTGTCACTCTTGTCTTGCAATGATGAAATCCTAGTTTTTGCACCGCGAAAGTTGTGATGATAAACTATAATGCCTCAAATATTAAAAATAATAGTGATATATTCACGTAAGATGTCAAGAAATTAGTCGTTAACTTAAAACTGAATTATAAGAAAAAAACGAATCAAACGGTAGATAGAAAAGGCAGAAGACAGGAAAGATTGAAAAGTAAAACTATTCCAAGTGTTGTATTGGGGGCAGCAGACCAGTTTTGGTCTCGTCCATGACCCCTTATAAGAAGTCACAGAAGGAAACCCTCGATTCTGCAGGGGCCCCATATTAGTTGCCTTTCACACATTAGTCGCCTTTCACGATACACATGCAGTGGGATACAACGATGTATTCTTTATTTCCTCAGTGACCCTTTAAAAGAAAACAAGAAAGAAACCATTCTATTGGCATCGCTCGTCAATACATGAAATCAGCGTTTGACAGATTTTCGAACACTATTTCATGTCCGGCTGTCGTGGTAAGATCTGCAGAATTTCCGTGAGTTAGACAGGTTATAGCTATAAATAGATTTGACGTTTTTTAAACCCTTAAGTGCATATAAAATTGAATGCATGTACCGCCATTTGACAAACGAGACAAGTCCCGCGGCTCGCTGGTTAACACTTGGGGGACTGGTCTCGTTTGTACATGAACGTTCATGTTCTATCGTCCAACAATACACGGTTATTACACAACTGTTATCTATAGATAGATATAGGTAGGTTACACAGCCATTACTCATTATTAGTCAGCGCTGTGAACATATAAAAGTTATGTTGGAGAAACGCTATTGCATTTCTCGGCTAGTAAATTAGGCCTACACCTTTTGCAATAGCACATAACTAAGTGGGTGGATCAACTACCGAAATTTTAAGTGCATTAATTAGCAGTGTGCAAATCCAATATCTCGATTTCAACGTATTTCATTACGATATATACAAATGTAAGATGTTAAGCGATGCCTCAAATTGGTATATTTATAATGTTATAAGATAATTATGTACAATTGAAAGATTTTTTCAGATGTAATTTTCTTCAGACATACAGGTAGACTAAGGCAATCGACGAGGAAATGTGTAACTTTTTTCGCGAATGAAATAGAGATGAAAATGCCCATACATGGCGTTATCTGTGATTAAAGTTTTGACTTTAAATACATGAAAGGAAATGATCAAGGTAGTAGCTACCGGCAATTCATATAATAATAACAAAATCTTCCCTTTATATTTAAAGAAAAACATCGGTTTCGGTGTGATTTTGATATACATATATCATTAAAAAAAATAATTGATATAAAAAATATTCGTAACGCGATATTCATATTGTATACACAATGAAAGATTATTATGGTTTTCATATAAACTTTATTTATTTGTCAACAATTTTCAACATTTGTCAATATTTTTTGTCCGAATGTTAGCGGGGGTGGGGTGGGGTGGGGTGGGGGTCTTTATTTGGGAGTAAGCTGGAGTACCCGGAGATAAATCTAATGTACCCGATTATCGAATCCTGTGCCCTGTATTCCTTACCCCCGTTCCATGTACCCCGTAACCCTGAACCCCGTAACCCTGTACTCCGTTCCATGTACCCCTGTACCCCATATCCCGTACAATGATTCATGTACTGATTATATTCACGATACAATACGCATCACAGCAAAATGCATTCGATACGATATGTATCTTTATAAAGTTTAAGGTTTAAACATAATTTGTTGTAAAAATCCACAAATGGATTGGACAACAAGTTATAACAACTGAATAAAGTCATCTCCTCAATACATATGGTAAAAACAATGAATATGTTTTTACGGAAAGTGAGAAAGATAGGACGGAGAAGGAAATGTCGGGTGGGAGGAGGGGAGTGGGGTGTGTGGTACCTAGAAAAGAAATCGTGTAAACTGTGAAACGGATCCGCATTTGAATAAATTATGAATTACACAAATTTCATGACATGCAGCCTAGTAGAGTAATTTCAAAATGAACAGAATCAATGTAACAAAGAAATCAGGCAAAATATGAAATGCAATTTCATAAACACATATAACAACGTACACACATAGAGAAAAATAAAGAAAATTAATTCTAGTTATCCATCCTATTGCTGGATTTGATGTAATGATGCACATGTCTAAATATATTTATATTGATTTATACCCAAAGATGACTATTATCAAACAAAAGTAGTTCTAAATTAAAATCAAAATATCTCAACTTAATAATCTTATGTATCTTTATACACCTATCTACTTTAAAAGATAGTTTCACAATACATGTGTTCAGATATTTTCAAGACATGTAATATTTTTACGATGTCAATAGTAATTACAGTTCAAATATATCTTTGTTCGGGCTGTTGTACGTTTAATTCTCAATGTGAGCGATTGAGGCCCTCTGGGCCTCTTTCTTCCGCGGAGCGGAGTCATCTCTGTGATGGGGAACTTCATTTCTTTTCACGTAAAAGTTACTGGAGGGTACGGAATCATGTTATCTAAGAAATATGATATTATGTAATAAGTTTTTGTTTATGATTGCATACGAGCTAACGGCTATACAATGTTCAATCTGTATGTTTGTCATATTTTTGTATTTCTGTTAATTAAACGTCCGTCGCCTACGCCCACCTGTCTTCCTGCTATCTATTAAGATTGGATCAAATTATTTTGTTGGACTTATTGTATTCCACTTACTCTTTTTCATTTTTCAATGACGATTGTATCCTTTGTGCAGTAATACACAAAACGTTCTAAACTAAACTTTACAGAATCCTCCATATAGTCATTATAAATCAGACTTCTTAAAGCAGATATTTTAATCAAGATACTATCGTACCATAGCTATTGTGCTGTGAGGAGCATTTTATTGAGGAATCTATAATTACGGGGCTCGGGGTATAGGGTTCATGGTTAACTGAAATAAGTAATCGAATCGTTCAGCTTTGAGTCTTTGTTGCGTATCATAGCAAACGTTTTTGTTTGTCTGTCTAGGGACACACTTACAAATAAAAAGTATATTCATATACGAATTTTTGGACAACGAATGTTTAAATGATTTTATCATAGGTTGCTCCCATAGGGTTCCATAGGGAACCCCTAAATATTCCCTATATGGGTCCCATTCAATGCTAGAAGTAATTAATCAATAATAAAAATCATTGGTCAAGAGGTTAACAATCCTTTGGAAAGCTTTAGTAAGCTTTAATAATCCCACCCTCCCCCCTTCTGCAGCTATGTAAAGTTTAAGAACTAGGAATCATAATTCTTGCTTTTCTTCAAAACCCTTATACCCTTTTTAAAGAGACTGTTTGTTCATTTTCTTAGTTCCAGTGACTGAAACTGTTTTTACCATAATCATGTCATCCCTTTCTTACACCTGAAGTTGTATACATGTTTGTACATTTTATATATTTTTCATTTATTTTGACCAATAATCATGTCATCCCTTTCTTACACCTGAAGTTATATACATGTTTGTACATTTTATATATTTTTCAGTTATTTTAACCAATAAGCATGTCAACCCCTTCTTACACCTGAAGTTATATACATGCTTGTACATTTTATATATTTTTCAGTTATTTTGACCACCTGAAGTTATATACATGTTTGTACAGTTCTTTAATATTTCATTTAATTTTGACCAGATAACATCCATCAAGTTCCTTGTAAATTCATATTCCAAGAAAATAACCTTCAGAGCATTTATATTATGTATTTTGAAAGCCTTTCTATAATTCGCAACTATAGCTATTGCTTCTTAAAACACTGGCTCGGTCAAAGTGAGACAACACTATTAGCTGGTCAGAGCCATGAGAAAACCTACCTTCCCCTTCCACACAAAGAACATTTGAATACATGTGGGAGTTAGGGTTGGGTAGCCTGCTCTCCAGCAGTC